AGGCAAAAAAGATGACTGCAGCCATAAAGCTACTTAATCACTTAAAGCCTCTTTTTGACCATTCCCTATGTAAGCACAGTAGGATGGACTTCCTATGGGAAACAGGAAATTACAAAGTGTACATCTCCTCCTCTTGTTTACCAACATTCTTTTCTCCCCCCACCCCAGATCTGAGTCATCCTCTCCCCACAGTAGTCTATCATTCTTTTCGATCTTAAGAAAGTAACATATTGTACTGAGGTCCTCAGCTTTCTGAATTGGGTGGCCTAGTCCTAAGAACAGTAGTTCTGTCTGTTAAATTACTATACAAACAAGGTTGTTTGGAGAATTTAATTCAAGGGTAAGGGATCCCTTTCAAAACAAGAACTGAAAACTGTATTTGAGGAGTCAAAGGAAAGACCATATAAAAGAAAGACTATACCATTCAAAGCCTTTCTCCATTCATCTTATATTAAGTTTATCTTTCAAAATACAGTGATTTTCTGTTTCTCAGAGAATTTAAAAATTTTACAATTCTATGATGTGCAGATTTGTGGCTAAATTATACTCTTCTCAAGGAGACATGGCTTTCTTCCCTCCCTCACTCATTTTTCTTCTTTCCTTTTTCTTTCTCTCTCCCTCTTTCTCTATATTTCTGCCTCTAGTTAACTAGACATTTTACAGATTTTATATTAGCCTTCTTTGATTACCCTTTTAAAAAAAATTTACAGTGAGAATATTATAGGCCCCAAGGTTGAAGCTGTATTTTGCTCTTTTTCAATAGTTTCTAGTTCATACCCCAGGACACAGCAGAATGGAACCCATAAGAAAATAACATTTCACATTGAACTCAAAAGAATATTATCACTACTCACTTTCCAAATTAAAAAAAATATATATGTTCCCTCTTTTTGATCAGCTCACATATGTGTACCCTTCTCCTACTTTGTGGGAGAGAAAATAGTATAATACAGGGACTGTAACATTAGGACATTTGAAATTCTAAAGGTATCTGTCTTCTACAAACTGACTTTATCCAAAGGCCATGGTGCTATACCTTGGCCCTAGAAATCAAGCCTAGCTTTGTCTCCTGTCAATGGTTTAGATCACTGATTGCCCTGCACCGTTGCCACCCTCATGTCATTCCCCCTCATTTCTCAAGAATTTCAGTTCCTAATTCATTCATACTTCTCCCTGGTCTTTTCTTTCAGTGATTTCACATAGGTTATCCTTCTCTCCCTGGCCTTTGGTTCACTGACTTCCTCCCCTGCAATGACCTTATCCTCCATCTGCCTCATTAGAGACCAACTTGAATGAACAAGCAGAATTTTAAAAAATCCATTGCAAGCCATTCTCAGACCACTATCTCTTAGAGCCTTCCAGCTCATTCTCCCTGGTACTTGACCCCAGCAGCCCTTCAATACGCTGGGTCTTCCAATTCATTGACCATTTCACTGATCTCATTCCTATCTGTCCTCTGTTCCTCCAGCTTAAATTCTAAGATCAATTATTATAATCATTCTCTTGCCCTTCTTGCTTCAGCTCTGACTAAATCCACCTCTGCTTTTTCACACTACACCTATTAGTTGAATGTGGCTGGAGAAAAATTCACAACCATGCTGATGGGCTTCACTTCCAATCCGTGACTTCAGTGGTGTCTGACAATTGCACCTTAGGTCATAAACCAGTTTCTCTTCTACTCCTAAACAACGATTTCATATTGTTTTCTCTGTCCTCAGACTCCCACTACCGCTTGCCCTGTCCTCATCTCATTTGACAGTCTTGCCTTCTATTTCACTGAAAACACTGAAGTAATAAGAAAAGAATTTCACAGATCTCACTATCACTTCTACGAGATAGCACATACCCCCCCTCACACTTTATCTTCCTGCCAGCTACCATTGGTGATGATCATGTTCCTTCCTAAAGTCAGCTCCTCCTTCAAGTAGGCACTCTTCCATCTCCTCTCATCTATTCAAGGACATCCCTCCAATAATTCTCCTATTCATACACCATTAGTTTTTGCTCCCCAGTGGATCGTTCATATCAAAATATACACATTTATCTCCCATTTTAAAATGATTTTCTTTGACCCATTTCCCCACCAGCTACCATCCCATTTCTTTGAAGCTAAACTTCTCAAAAGAGTTGTATATACTTGCTGTTTTCACTTTCTTCCTTCCCATTTTCTCTTAAACTTTTTCCAGCCAAGTTGTTACCCTACCTCTCCTCCAAAACTGCTCTTCACGTCATCACCCCATTTCTTTGTTTCCTTTTGAAGGAAAATGTCTCAAAAGGATTGTCGATACTCACTGTCTCTAATTTCTTTCCTCCCACTCCCTTTAACACCTATTTCAACCCCTACCATTTCACTGAAAGTGCTCTTGTTGAGCCACCAGTGACTTTTTTGTTGTAGAACCCAATGATCAACTATCAGACCTCATATATATTGACCTATAAGCACCATGTGATATAACCAAACACTTTCCTTTACAAATCTGGTTTCCAGCACATGGCACTCTCTTGGTTTCCCTCCTACTTCACTGGTCTCTCCTCAGTCTCTGTTGCTGGTTCTTCCTCTTTTTCTTGACCTTGTAATTTTAGAGGCCTCAGGGCCTAGCTTATCGATACTTACTCCCTTGGTGACCTCATCCAGCCCTTTGGCTTTAAATACCACATATGCTGATTATCTCAAACTGCGTATACCTGTCCCAGACCTCTCCTGAGCTCTAAACTCATAATGCCTTCCTGGCATCTCAACTCTGTTGTCTAACAATCATTTCAAATGCAGTATGTTCAAAAACAAACCTCTGATTTTCCTGAAAAGATCTGTCCTATCACAACCTTCCCCATCTGCTTCCAGTAATACCATCATAGCAGTTGATCAGGTCAAAATCTTCCGAGTTTTCCTTGACTTCTTTCTCTATACTGCATGCTATGGTTTGACTGTGGGTTGTTCCCACCAAAACTCATGGTACAATTTAATTGCCAATGTAATGGTGTTAGGAGGTGGGGTTCTTTAAGAGGTGATCAAGTCATTAAGATGCAGTAAAGTCTTTCTTGCAAGACTGGGTTAGTTCTCATGGGAATGGATTCAGTCTTGAGAGAGTGGGTTGTTATAAAGCAGGTCATCCTCTTTTGTCCCTTCTCTTTCACATGTGCTTGCTTGTACTTTTGCTTTTCGGCCTCAGGCATCATAGCATAGCTCTTGGACTTCCCAACCTCCAGAACTGTGAGCAAAATACACTTCTTTTCTTTATAAATTATCTACTGAATATATATATATATTGTTACAGCAACAGAAAATGAACTGAGGCATCCCATAGCCAATTTATCATAAAATCAGGTTGGCTCTACCATCATACTATTTCCCCATCCACTTCCATTACTGCCACATGATCTGAGAAACAGCTTTTACATGGATTACTGTAATAGCTTGAAAACATCCCCCTAAATCTACCATTGTTCCAAGTCTATTTTTCACCCAAGAGCCAGAGTAATACATGCCAAATTTAAGTCAGATTTTGTGTCCTCTGCTCAAAATTCTATAATGGCATCCCATTTCACAAAGAATAAAAGCCAAAATTCTTACAAAATTATGTGAGCTCCTACTTGATCTAGCCTCCCTCATTCACTCTGCTCCATCACATTGGCCTCCTTGTTGTTCCTTGAACATCCCAGGTATGCTCCTGTTTTAGGGCCTCTGCTTAGTTCTTTTCTCTTGCTGGAATGTTCTTCTCTCATATTTCTACTAAGCTAACTCTCTCAACTTTTTGACTCTTTACCAAAATCTCTTTTTACTGAGGCTTCCTCTGACCACTCCACTGAATACTACAATCTGCTCCCCACCCCTAATCCCCTCATTCTATCTCAATCCCCTTATTCTATTCATTATTTTTTCCATAGCACTTATAATATTCAAATATGCTATATTGTTTACATGCTATTATTGTTTGTTGTCTTTCTCCCTGATAAAATATAAACTCCAAGAAATTGTTGTTCAGTCATCTGATATATCTCGAGGGCCTATAAGAGTACCGGGCACATAGTAGGTACAGTCCTAAGTCAAGTAGATATTCGTATGGAAAAAACATATTGTGACCCTATTCACAAAAATCAATTCCAGATACATAACAGATATAAATTTGCAAGATCTTGAAGAGACAAGATTTCTTAAACAGAACACAAAACGCACTAAAGAGGAAAATGGAAAATCAAAACAAATTAAGATTAAAACTTTTGTTATTTACTTATTTTATTATTTTTGAGTTGGAGTCTCACTCAGTAGCCCAGGCTGGAGTGCAGTGGCACGCTCACGTCAACCTGCTGGGCTCCAGAGATCCTTCTGCCTCAGCCTTCCAAGTAGCCAGAACTACAGGAGCGTGGCTAATTTTTTTGATTTATTGTAGAGATGAGGTCTCACCAAGTTACCCAGGCTGTTCTTGGACCCTTGGGCTCAGAGATGCCCTCACCTCGGCCTCCCAAAGTGCTGGGATTACAGGCTTGAGCCACCATACCTGGCCAAACTTTTGTTCTTTAAAAGGCACCATAAAGATATATCTATATCTATATCTATATCTCTCTCTATATATATCTGGATATATATCTAGATAGATATCTAGATATAGATATATATGAAAAAAGACGAGTATCTGGCATGTATAAAGGATTCCATCAAATCAACATGAAAAAGAACGCCCAAAAGGAAAACAGGGAGAAGACCTGGACGGTACACAAAAGCAGATATCCAAATGGCCAAAAAGCGCGTGAAAGCATTCGCAAATCATTAGACCCTGGCAAGGTGCTAGTAAAACCCACCACGCGATACCATCACAGACCCACCAAAACGCCAAGATGAACAGAACGAGACTGAACCGTGGGTGTGGCGAGAATGAAGACGGGCTATCGCGAGACTGGGGCGCGTGTGATGAGACTGAAGAGTGGGCGGTTCCAACGGTCAGTTTGCCGGAGCGCCACCTTCTGTGAGGAGAGCAGACGACGCTGGCCTGGCTGCTACCAACATGAGCGCCCTGAGAGAGGTCAGGGGGACCGGTCTCCCCCAAGCCCACAGCCTCACGACTCCCGACCGTGCCCCGGAAGGCCGGCGCCCATACCAGTACCAGAGGCTACGGGAGAAGAGCAAGGCCTCACAGGTGATGGGGAAGACGCGCGAGGGCAGCTCGGGGGCCGCGATCAGGCCGCCCGTGCTTCCAGAGGCGAGGGCCATCCCCGGGGGGGCCATGGGCTGCGGCCGCTCTCTCCAGAGCCTTGTCCCTGGAGGTCGCGGTCCTGCGGCCACCGAAGTGAGGCAAGACGTGGCTCCAGTACCCGTGGCAGGCTTGGAGGCCGCCTCTGTCTCCGAGCCGGCTCAGGTCGGCCTCAAAGACGGCGTCCAGGGCGGAGAGAAGGTTCTAGAAGCCGGTGGCGCCGGGAGATCAGCCCCTGAGGTGACGGCTAAGGGCGGGAAGACCGAGGAGGGTGCCTCGGGCTCAGTAGCCGTGGACGAGAAGCCAGTAGGTGATGGTATGGAGGTGGAGGGAGACGAAGCAAGAGGCGAGGCGAGGCAGGAGCCGGGGCCGCCTCCCCTGGACATCTCTCGCTGCCTGAAGCCCCTGCAGGCCATCAAGCAGGCGCTGGACCACCTGAACGCCCAGGCCGACAGGGTCCTCCTGCAGCTGGACCGCCATTTCGGGCGGATGCGTCAGCACTACCTGCGGCGGCGGAACTACGTGATCCGGAGCATCCCGGGCTTCTGGGTCACGGTCTTCCGCAACCACCCGCAGCTGTCGGCCGTGGTGCGAGGCCAGGACGCCAGGATGCTGAGATACGTGACCCACTTGGAGGTGAAGGAGTGCAGACACCCGTGGATATGTTGCAAGTTCAAGTTCTTCTTTCGAAGAAACCCCTACTTCACAAACAGGCTGATCGTCAAGAAGTATGAGGTCAGAGCGCCCGGCCAAGTGGTGTCCCTTTCCACACCTATCGCGTGGCGCCCAGGCCACGAGCCCCAGTCCTTCATTGGTAGGGGCCAAGAGGTCACGTGCGGCTTCTTCGCCTGGTTCTCCGACCACAGCCTTCCAGAGTGCGACAGGATCGCCGAGATTATCCGAGAGGACCTCTGGCCAAATCCACTGCTGTACTACCAGGCGCGGGAAGAGGCCGGCAGAGTTAGACATCGCCAGATAAGGGAGGCGGTGGAAATCCCCAGGCCCTTCGGGTTCCACTCTGGTTAACCTCTTTTTGCCCTTGGGATTACTCCCACACAAGGTCTACTGGACCTGTGCTTGGGCAACAGCGGTATTTGTTTTACCATTTTTGTGTTGACCTTTCTGTACGCTCCTTTAAAGGTTTTCCATTCTGTCAGTCTCAAAATTGAGACCTTCGTGGCCCTGTTGCTCCACGTTCACGTGGTCTTGATGCTGTTCTGCATTAACAGCACGTGCTGCCTGGCCGTAACTCACACCCTTCTAAGCCAAGCAAAGGGTGCTGTAGCTTGCGCTGTTATTTATGTGTGTTGTTTGGACCCTATTTGTTCCCAGGTCCTCTTGTCTGGCTCCTGCCGCCGGGAATTCTAGCTGGGTCTTGGAGCCTATTCTACACATCCTACTCTGCATCAGGAAGTTCAGGCACATGGCCTGTGGACAAATGCTGGGCATTAATAAAGTCAGGTGGCAGGGACCACTTGACCTGTGATTGATGTGACTCTTGCTTTTCCTGATGCTCTGGTCACCTATTGCTGCCTCCTACTGTCTATGCTCACCCCCCTTAGGCAGCCACCTGCTGGATGAACATATTCCAGACCCTTGCCAGCTTCACTTTTTGGTTTCTGGTAGTCAAGGATCTCCAGAAGTGGTGGAGCCAGGTTTCCTGCCAGCACACAGAAGACTGCTCAATTCACCACCACCACCCTCATCACCCAGAAACCCTATTGGCTGTCAGGCAAGAGGTTGAGGGGATAAGTTAGACCTATCCTCATGGCAAAAGTAATGGTATTCCTGCCAAGTACCAGGCTTTGTCACTCACAACCAGTGAATTCATAATCTAAGTACCTTTATTTGCCTCCCTTCCTCATCCTGAATGTGATGAAGTGCCAGTGGGTGTACACTTCTCTTTTCTGTCATCTTTCATGTCTCTGCTGTCGCTTAAAAAGAAAAAGTGGTAGCTCAGAAACGTCTTCAAAAGTAGTGTTTTCAGTTTTACTTTGCTCTATCATTTCCAGAGGCAGGGAGGTTGTCCTGTAAAAGAGACTGCCGGAGCTCTTATTGCTCACTCTGCTTTTTCCCAGCCTTTCACCTTTCTTAGCAATTCCTAGAGGGTTAAAGGAATACAGATGGAATGAAAGGTGATTTCTAGTTTAGAATGAATGTTAGAAGTAAAGAGATTGTGTTGGGTGCCCTAAGCAGGGAAAACTGAACAGAAGGCCAGAGGTGAGGCAGAGATGAGCCAGGGGAAAATCGGGCCTAGAACTAAGACTAGGTTGGCTGAGAGCCTATGAAGAAGGTGTACTTACTCTGTTAGTGGTGATAGGAGAAGTACTTTACCTCGGATTGGGATAGAAGAATAGAAGGTAGTTGGAGTGTTAAATAGGTTGTCTAGAGAAGGGATCTTTGAAGAAACACAATGCAACTTTGAATGTTTTCTTTCTTGCCTTCATGTGACTCTATTTATGAGGTAGATTAATACCTTGGTGCCCTTGAAGTCCTATTATTTTCTCTGTTTCTGCTTACTAGGAAGATGGAGCTATACAGTTTTTCTTTTACTTTCAAGTAGGACTATTTGGAAGAACGTTTTTTTCTATACGTTATAGAGACTTATGTGAATATTTATAACAGTTTTCAGCCTGTTGTTTCTGTTAAAACTGTATCCTTAAAATTTTAATTTGAATAACTTAGTCTTGTCTGACTCTGAAGACTTTGGAAATTGTTGTGTTCATGAATAAAAAAATATACAGAAAACTTATGGATCTGATTGTCTCACTTGTTAATTTGCCCTGGTAACCTTAGTAGTTAATGTAACTCTTTTTCCTAATCAGCAGAAGTACTTTTGTGATTGTCCTGTAAAACCAGAATTATACCATTGACATATTTGCCTTTCCTTGTGAGGGTAACAAGACAAAACATAAGATGGAAAATAACAAGGGTTGAAAAGTACACAGGAAAACCAGAAAGTCCCATACACTGCTGGTGGGAGAGTAGCCTGGTACAAATACTTTAGAAAATTGTTTGGCAGTGTCTATGCATACCCTCTGACCCAGCTCTGGGAATATACTCAAATGTATATGTAAATTAACCCAAAGACATGCATGAAAGTATTTATAATAGCACAATTTTAATAGCTGACAGTAGAAACTGCCCCAGTGTCTATCAGTAGTAGAAAAAAAGTGTTCACAAATGGAATACTATGAGAAAAAAAAGAACTAAGACTATATGCAGTAATAAAAATGAGTCTCACAAATATGCTGGAGGTAAGAATCTAGACATAGAAGTTTACACAGTTCTATCATTGATTTATGTATTAAGTGTAAGAGCAGGTAAAACTAACCTATGGTGGTAGAAATCAAAATGGTGGTTACTACCAAGAACAGTGAAGAGTCTGAGATTTACCCTCCTTGCAAGCTGACAAATTAGCCTTCCTAGTTGGTAGATGCTAGGTCAGAGACAAAGGACCTTACAACTCAATAGCTAAAGTGTATTTGTTCCAGTTCCCTGAGCTCTACTTCCCACGAGGCAGCATAAAGCCAGTGATACCTGTATACACAGTGGATTATATTACAGCAGAAAAACTCTGAGTTTAGGGAATCTGAATCTTTCATAATGGAGGTAACCAGGCCTGTCCCCTCTGTTTTGAAGGGAGACATTATCTAGATTATACTGAGTAGTAAGTAAACCTGTCCTTCGCTCCATCAGAGACACAATTTCTTTTTTTCAAGGCTGTAAGCAAACCTGTGTTCTGCTCTGGAGAGACACTATTCACTACCCAACATCCTTGAAAAGATATTCTGAATACGGGCAGTCAATACCTTTGCTCACAAGATGTACAAAAGCAAAAGAGACACATGGAGTATTGTCTCCCAATACTTAATTTGGGGTGGTTGCTACCTATTGACTGGAAGAGACTATGAGGGTGGTAGATTTTAAAGAGCTGGTGGTGTTTTGTGTCTTGATCTGGGTACTGCATAAGATGGTGTATTCAATTCGTAAAGCTTAATTGAGTTGTACCACTTAAGACTTAACACAATTTTCTGTATGTATAATATACTTTAATAAAATATTCTTGCTTAAGGGAAAAAAAATGAAATCCAAAGTAAGCAAACAAAACAAAAGCAAAAATACCCCATTATTTTTCTGGAACCTCTATGCTAGAACTGGCTAATTTAAAAGTATGCTTCAGATCTTTTGCGTAGGCTGTGAATCTATATGAGAATTCTTACAGGGTCATTTACTATGCCACATTCAAATGGCTAAAATCTGTTTTCTAAGAATAGAAATGTTCACTTATCTAGGCATAGGCCATCAACTTTTAGTATTTACAGTGCTCTGCTCATTTTATAAACTGAACTTTACCAGAATTTTTATTAACAGTTCATTAATAATGGCTTGTGATGGTTCATTTTCTTTTCTTTTCTTTTTCTTTTTTTTGACTTGAAGTCTCACTCTGTTGCCAGGGCCAGAGTGCAGTGGCACACTCACAGCCCCACCGCGTCGACCCGCTGGGCTCCGGTGATCCTTTCACTTCAGCCTTGCAAGTAGCCAGAATTATAGGTGCATGCTACTACACTGGGCTAATTGTTTACTTATTGTAGAGATGAGGTCTCACCAAGTTGCCCAGGCTGATCTTGAACCCGCGGGCTCAGGCAATCCACTCGCCTCAGCCTGGAATTACAGGCTGAGCTACCAAGCCTGGCCTGATGGTTCATTTTCAAAGCTTAGTTTTTCCAGCCAAATAAGTCATACAATCCATATATTATTTAGTTGTTCAAATTGGATGATGCTATTCTGAAGACTGGCCCCATCATACATTTGCTTTTTAAGATGTTCCATATTTCAAAGTTTCACTTCTTTTCAGGCCTACCTCTTTGAGGTATAAATATTTCACTTGATAATTAAGAGAGAGCAGAATTTCACACCTTTGGCACATGATATAGAAGACCACAGTATTAATAAGAAAAAAACATTTTATAAAACTCTAATGAAGTCATTTGGTTTGGCTTATTTATGCAAAATATTTTCATTTCTGCATACAGCAAGGTATTTAGGGATAATTAAGGATAATTCAGTGTTGAAAATGAGGTAGTTTTGTTTTTTACATAAAGGATAAGAAAACATTTAGTAATATACAAGGGAGGATCCATAAAATAAAATTATTTTTTGGAGGTCAGACCCTTTGTAATGCAGTCTTCCCCCTGCTAGACAAATGTTCTAGCGACCCACTGGCATAGTGTACCAGCTAGTGTTGTGAGAAGTTGTGTTTGGCTTCAGTGAATTTTTTTTGGAGATTCTTTAAATGTGTTTGCCCATTTCATGATGGATAATTTACACAAATTATCTGCCGACACTGCATTAAGTGTTCAGCAGTTTTTGTCCAAAAATGGTGTGACCCTTCTGCCCTACCCTCTCTTTTCACCCAATCTCACCCTGAGTGACTTTTTGTTTCCCCAGATGAAAAGTCCTCAGAGGGAAACATTTTGCCAAGGGGAAGGGGTGAACCAAAAAATGGTAGAAGCACTAAAAATCATCAAAATTGAAGAGTTCAAAAACTTTTGAGCAATGGAAAAAGCATCTCAATAGGTATTGCATCAAACAGCGAGTATGTTGAAGGTGACTGAAGTTTAAATATTTAAGAATAAATCACAATTTTTTATAAATAAATTCCGGGTTTTTTTGGGTCCCCCTCATATAAGATTAACTCGTTGCATTTGAAACATGAAGTAGATTTAATTATCTAGGCTTTTTACAACTACTATCAATTCATATCACACAATATAATTATATTATTATTGTTATTACTTTGAGTCAGGGTCTCACTCTGATGCTCAAACTGGAGTACATGGCATGATCAAAGCATATCATACCCTTGACCTTCTGGGCTCATGCAATCCTCTTGCATCAGCCTCTCAAGTAGCTGGAATTACAGGCACACGCCACCATGCCTGGCTAAGTTTTTGATTTTTTGTAGGGATGAGGTCTCACCAGGCTGATCTTGAACTCCTGGGCTCAAGTAATCCACCTGCTTT